GGCTGACTGTGCTGCTTCCGTTTGCTGCAAGAGTACCTCGGTCACTGTGTGCATGTGTGACTGCCCGTGCATGTGTGACTGCCCGCAGCCCCGTTCGGCTCCTTTGGGCTGTGCAGGGGCCAATGCATTGGCATTTCTCCCACTACGGAAGGCCGGCAGGGAGAAGTGTAGTCGAGTCTCGAAAGCTTTGCGGTGAGAAACCTGTAAAGTTACAAAGCTTTGAAACCCAGGCAGTCCTTAAGCCCCTAGAGTAAGAAGCTTGCTAACTCACAGAGCCAGATGCGGCCACCGTGTGCTCACCTGGGTTTCGGGCTGCGTTTTCGACGCTAACCCATTTCCCAGGCTGCACTATGGATCGGCACGCTACCTGGTCTGTGGGCTGCACGAAGCTACCCTGGAGCTACAGGATGCACAGTAGTCAGTTTAGCGTCCCCGCTATAGGTGTAGCAGCAAGCCAGGTTGCAGTTGCAGGTGTCTGTTGGAACAGATTAGCCTCTCAAAAGCAAAGCAAAACCCCCAACACCTTAAAAAAAATTGCTCGCAGGTGGGTGCCGGTGGTCTACAACCAGTGGGGCGAGCCGCAGCTCCCACACCGGCCGCCTGCGCTGTTGCCGCCGCATCCGCCGGCGGCGGCGGCCCCTTTTGCTGGCACGGGTGCAGCCCACGGTGCAGCCACAGGTGGCGGTGTTGCTGCTAACCCCTCGGGGGCTGCAGCAATGCCGGCGCCAAAAAAAAATCCTGGCCAGGTGGACCTAAGCAGCGAGGATGACGACGAGGAGTCTGAGGAGGAGGAGGCGGCTAAGAAGGACGAGGACAAGGAGCCGGACTCCCAGTCGCGGAAGGATGATATCGTGGTGGTGGACCACGACCAGGAGAAGAAGAAAGAAGAAAAGGGTGGCAAAAAGGAGGAGGCTGCTCAGAAGCGCAAGAAGAAGGAGAGCAGCTCTTCCAGCGGAGGCAACAGTGAGTCCTCCAGCAAGAAAGAAAAGCCCCGTGCAGCCCCCGCTGCCAAGGAGGCCAAGCAGGCACACGAGGCCCAGGCCGACGAGAAAGAGAGCGGCAAGGCCAAGGAGCCCAAGGAAGACAAGGAGGCGGAGGCGGCGGAGGGCGAGCCTGCAGCGCGGCCTGCGAGGAAGAACCGCAGCCGGCACTCAGCGGACGAGGCAGATGTCGTTCGCTGCGAGCACTGCTGGATGTGTGTGAAGAAAGAAGGCCTGCAAAGCCACCTGGAGAACAGCGAATACTGCCGCCAGTGGCGGCTCCACGCCGCCGGCCAAAATGTGGCCGGCCAAAAGCCTGCGGAAGAGCAGGCGAGCTCGGGTGCGTGCCAGTGCAGACACTGCTCACGGCAGTTCATGCGCAGGTGGGACATGCTGCAGCACTGCCTGGGCACGCACCCGAACTCCGACGAGGCTAAGGAATGCTTGCAGGCCATGCACAATAAGCGGAAGAAGCAGCCATCAAAGGAGGACCGGGCGGCTAGCATGAGCCAGCACAGGCCGCCGGTTCAGCTGCGGAGCAGGGGGCGTGTGGAGGAGCCGCCGCACAGACGTGGCCCGCGGCGTGAAGAGAGCCGAGATGATGATGGCAGCCGTGGGCGCCGGAGAAGCCGTGGTGAGAGCCGCCAGAGCCGTGGCCAGGCAAGCTCTCGAGGCGGCGGCCAGGCAAGCTCTCGGGGGAGCCGCAAAGGCGGCGGCCAGGCAAGCTCTCGAGGGAGCCGCAAGAGCTCCCGCGGCAGCGAGCACATGGACCGACGCTTCTCGGGCCGCAGGGCGAGCGAGCCTGCGGCAAGCTCCGGCCGCCGTGGGCGCGATTCGCGGAAGGAGCCGACAGGGCAGCTAGGCCGCAGCAAATCATCGCCAAGGGATCGGGCCATGGTGGCGGGTCAGAGCCAGAGCCCTCAGATCCCCCAGATGATGCTGGCCTTTTTCGATGCCACCACGAAGATGCTGGACATGCAGCAGCAGTAGTCCTAACATCGAAGATTTTTGGGCGAGAGGAAGAATCCTGGGCCTGGTGTCCTAAGATCCGTGCGATCCTGGACCCAGAGCCCTAAGATTCGGCTCTCGCAGAGGAGGCTAGGCCGCGGTAGCTAGGCCGTAGAGCCAGGCCGTAGGGTAGGAGCCCGACTGGCCTTCACCCGCCCTTAGCTCACGAAAGCCTTCAGGCCCCAAGCAAAGCTACAGCTACTACAGCTTTTAAGCTTTTAGCCGGAAACCGGAAACCTGAACCCTTAGGCACCAAGCAAAATACAGCTACTACAGCTTTTAAGCTTTTAGGCGGAAACCTGAACCCTTAGGCACCAAGCACAACTGAAGCTGAAAAGGCCAAGTCGGAAGTAGCTCCAGTGTTCCACTCACCAAGCACTGCCGAGCACAGTCGTGCCAAAAAAGATTCGTTCTCAGCAGGCTGGCGGGGCGTGTGGTCAAGTGCACAGCCAGAAAAAACTACAACCAGGAATCATCACGGTCGAGCGTTTGTTGCAAAACAACTACTGAAGCGTTTCAGTTTTGTTTTTGCCGGGCATGTTGAACTCATAAAGGGTTTTAAGGCCACAAGAAGACAGAACACAGAAAACACAGTGAATTCTCAAGGGGGCGGCCCTGGGGGTCTTCGGGGGGGGCTTTGGGGGCACTGGGAGGGCTCTGGAGGGCGTTTGCAGGGGATTTAGCACCTGTTTGGGGGTCTCGTGTTCGGGGTGTCCGGGGCTGTGTCCGGGTCGTGTCCGGGATGTCCGGGGTCGTGTCCGGGATGTCCGGGGTCGTGTCCGGGATGTCCGGGGTTGTGTCCGGGATGTCCGGGGCGGGGCCCGGGAAAGGTGTCCGGGGCGGGGCCCGAGGGTGTCTGGGGCCGTTTTGGGTGTCCCGCCCATGTCCCGCCAATGTCCCGCCATGTCCCGCCATGTCCCGCCATGTCCCGCCCGTGTCCCGCCATGTCCCGCCCGTGTCCCGCCATGTCCCGCCGTGTCCCGCCATGTCCCGCCCGTGTCCCGCCATGTCCCGCCCATGTCCCGCCCATGTCCCGCCCGTGTCCCGCCATGTCCCGCCCATGTCCCGCCCGTGTCCCGCCCATGTCCCGCCAATGTCCCGCCATGTCCCGCCCATGTCCCGCCATGTCCCGCCCATGTCCCGCCATGTCCCGCCCACGTCCCGCCATGTCCCGCCCTTGTCCCGCCCGAGTTCCGCCCAGCCCCGGTCCCGCCCACGTCTCATGATGTCCTCTGCGTCCTCTAAACTCTTTGCACAGCAGCCGTTTTCTCTCGAGGCTTTGTTTGTGTTAGCAGCAAAGAAAAAAAGCGCCAGGGGTATGCCTGGCAAACGCAAACGAGGTGACTCTCCAGTGCATGAGACCGATGCGACCCAGCCGCAGGCGGGCAGCAGTGTGATCACTGATGCGACCCAGCCGCAGGCGGGCAGCAGTGTGATCACTAGTGTGATCACCCGCCGCACACAGGAGCGATCCGAGCGATCCCGATCCCCGCGAGGGGAAAGGGTTGCGACTATCATTTGGAAGTGGTGCTGGAAACGAATGGAGACGGATGATGGGACCATTTGGTGGTGGCAATGGTGGAAGGAAGGGTCAACGAATGGAGACAGATGATGGGACCACTTGGTGGTGGCAATGGTGGAAGGAAGGGTCCAGAATCTGAGTGCGGTTTTTTTTCGGCAATAAGAGCTTGCGGTGGAATGCTGGAATGCTGTCGCCGACAATAAGAGTTTGCGGTGGAATGCTGTCGCAGACAATAAGAGTTTGCGGTGGAATGCTGTCGCCGAATTGCATGACTCAGAGATTGCATGATTGCCTGTCTCAAGGCCTTGCATGGAAATGGAAACAAGTGCATTGCAAGGGTAGACTGTGCCACCCAATTGCCTGACTGAGAGACTGCATTGCATGATTGCTTGTCTTTTTCCGTGGGTGGAAATGTTTACATCAGTCCTGAGTTTGTCACTGAGAGTGAGCAAAGCCAGTTCCAAGAATAGCGTAGACAGCCGGAGCCATCATCCTGATTTCTTTTCTTTCTCAAGCCAAGCTTTTGTTTTTAGTGGGTTGCAGCATGATGGAGACTGGGGCAGCGAAGCTCCTGTATGCGATGAGTCCTTGGAGCTCAAAGCTGGGGCGTGCACCTGTGGTTGCTGAGCCCTGTGTAGGCATCTCTGCTTATCGAGAGTGGATGCAGAAAGCAGGGCTTGTTTACAGGCCATGCGCAGCCTACGATTTCAACATGGACTTGGTGCCGTTTTGGCGAGCTCTGCGAAACCAGGGTTTGCAGGGGACTTCGGAAGTCAAACTGGGTTGCAAGAAGGGGACATCGAGAGGAATGTCGTGCTGTCAAAACTGTCAAGTGCGGAAGGCTTGATAAGCGGGCCCCCTTGTCAGCCTTTTGCCTCCACAGGTTTAAGGCAGGGCGCCCAGGACGAAAAAGGCCGCACAGATGTTTTTGAATCAGTTGTAAGCATGATATGTGAGGAAGGCTCGCGTGGCTGTCTTCTGTTTTTCATTCTGGAAAACAGCTCACATTTGGCTGATGCCAACCATGCTGAGTTTCTGAATGAGATGCTCTTGAGACTTGAAGTGTCACTGCCATATTTTTTGGTAGACACCGTGAAAAAGGATGCTGCGGAGTTTCTGCCAGTCAAGAGAGGTCGTTTTTTCATCAGAGGGCTAAGGAGAGACTGCCTGCCAGACCCCATGCAGGCGTTCCTCCCTGCCCCCCTGTGCTGCACGGATCTGCTCCCGGCAGTCACACTGGAAGAGATTTTGGATCTGAGCTTGGCTGCGACCGATGTGCAGAGTTTGTGTGCAGGGCACGCTGCTAACCTCACATTGTACAAGCAGACCATATCTCAGTGCATCGAAGAGCATCGTGCCCAAGGCAAGCCGCTGCCCTCGAACACGGTTGTTGTGGAGCTCGACCGAAACCCCTTGAGAACTTTCGGCGGGAAGTGGGGTTGGGGCAAGATCCCATCACTGAGGACTACGGGGCCACCTTTGTTTCTTCTGAGTTGCGAGGACTTGTCGAGGCCATGGCAGGTCATGCGACTGCACAGGTGGCTCAGCATCGCTGAGCGGTGCAGCGCTCTGGGGCAGCGTGCAAGCCACGCGGCCTTGTTCTCGAGAGACACCCATGCCCTGCATGCGATCGGGAACGCTCTCTCGCCAGTGCAGCTGGCCGCTGTTGCCTCGCCGCTCGTGGAGGCAGCGGTCAACTCTGGCGTGCTCACTGCAGGCAACCGTTGCAAAGCCTGCGCAGTGGAGCTTCTGCCGCACACGAAGCCACCGGGTACATCAGCAGCTTGTATCCTTGAAAAGACCCCGAGGCCAAGCGCCACAAAAGGTTCCAAACCAAAGGCTGCAGTTGAAGAGGCAACACAAAAGACTCGAAAACCGAGGGCCAAAAGCAGTGCAAAGCCGAAGGCTTCAACTGAAGAGGCAAGCCCAAAGACCCGAACCCCGAAGGCCAAAACAGCTACAAAGCCAAAGGTTTCAACTGAAGAGGTAACCCCAAAGACTCGCAACCCCAAGGCCAACAGGGTTCGAAAGCCAAGGGCTCCAACTGAAGAGGAAGCTCCAAAGACTCTGCCTCGTGACACCAGCGCAAAGCCAGAGGCTTCAGCTGAAGAGGAAGCCCCAAAGACTCTGCCTCGTGACACCAGCACAAAGCCAGAGGCTTCAGCTGAAGAGGAAGCCCCAAAGACTCTGCCTCGTGACCGTGACACCAGCACAAAGCCGGAGGCTTCAGCTGAAGAGGAAGCCCCAAAGACTCTGCCTCGTGACACCAGCACAAAGCCGGAGGCTTCAGCTGAAGAGGAAGCCCCAAAGACTCTGCCTCGTGACACCAGCACAGCTGGTTTAGATGGCACCCAGGACTTACCACGTCACCAGCCAGAAGGCAGCACCCAGGACTTACCACGTCACCAGCCAGAAGGCAGCACCCAGGACTTACCACGTCACCAGTCCGATGACTTGGAGCTAGAGCTTGAGCGACTGGTTGACGAGCTTTTTTCGGATGATGATCCGGGCATGGACGTTGATGATGCTGCGCCACAGAGTCCACTCGTCCTGAGTGAGAAAGCAACACACCTCTTCGAGTGTTTGGCTAAAGCCAAAGCTTCATCCAAAAACTGGCTCTCGCCAGCAAGCAAGAGCTCCAAGAACGAATCTGAGCCAGCACAAAGCTCCGGAAGCAAGGTTGGCGACAGACGGAGGCGTTCTACTAGCTCAGGGCGAGACATGCCAGAGAATGCTCAGCGCAAGCTGCGTTTCCCACCTCACTTGAACCTGCCAAAAGAAGCGATCCACCTCTCGGATTCCGACTAGCGCTTCTAAGCGGTGTCGGTTGCCATGGTGGCGGTCTGCCTGTTCGTAGATAGGACCTGCTAGGATGGTAGGTGGATGAGCAGATGTGTGTGTGTGCACACAGCAAGCTTGAGAATAGTGCAAAACAGTCTTCCGATAACCCTTCTGTGTTCGCTGAGTAAGCTTGCCGGGTAGTTCCCTGATGACAGCCATTGAACTCAGGGTTCTTGTTTTTGTGTCTTGCAGCGATTTGTTTGGCTCCACAAGCCCCTCAGCTCCCACACTCGTGCTCCCCTGCCCCGCAGCAAGCATGACAGATGCCCCGGAACAGGAGATGCCTCAGAGCATCATGTGCATCAGGTGTGAGGAAGAGACAAGCATCTTGACGAGCTACCCAACTGGAAGGAACTGCTTGAGGCGGATCTGCTCCTGCTGTTCGTCCACAGACCGGTGCCTCTCTCGGATGGCTAAAGCACCGAAGAAGGGCTCTGCCGAAGAAGCCAAAGAAAGCGAGGAGGCCAAGAAAGCTCGAAAAAGCGCTGAGGCCCTGAGGGGAAGCGTGGCCAAGATGGGTTCCTCGGAGCGTGCCCAGTGGTACCGCCAAGAGAAACGGAAGCGGGCAACCGAGTCAAAGAAAAGCCGCAGGACCTTCGCAACGGCAGTGGGGGCCTTGGAAGAGACTCGCCAGACTGGGAACGAAGATTGCAGCGGCTCACGATACATGACCCCCCGCGACTGGTGCGCACGGGAAATGATCCTGAAGCAGTACAGTACCTTGGAGGATGCTATGGTAGCCTACGAGCAGCGCTGCACAGATCCGGACGTTGTGACCAAGGAGATCAACGGGGAACTCTGCCTCCGGGTCAACAACGGAGGTCTGGAAACTGTCGTGGACCGCCATACCGTTGCAGCATCCGTGCGGCAGCGGACTGACCTTGGCGATGGCGAGCAGCTTGATGGTTTCGAAGAGGAAATCGGACCTCGCATGAAACGTGCTTCTGACAAGCTCCAAACAGAGCGGCTTCTGTCAGAGCAGCAGGGCAAGCAGGCCTACGTTCCGGCCGTCGCGGTGCGACGAGATTTGGAGCAAGAGAAGGAAGTTGCTGAGAACAGAGCTGCTGAATTTCAGCAGCAAGCCTTGGCACTCAAGGAGAAAGCTGATCAAAAGAGGAAAGAGTTGAAGGAGAAGCAAGCAACCCAGCTTCCCTCCTTGGCAGTGGCAAAGCTCAGCCTCACCAACGCTATCCACAAGGCAAATGCTTCGATGTCCGAGCTGTTGAAGCGTCAGAAGGCCACAGCAGACACCTTGTGCAAGGACTTGACGAATGCTTTGTGCATGTCAGACGTCCCCGTGAAGAGAGAAGCCGAGGAAAAGACGAAAGTGCTGAATGGCAAGATCAAGGACCTGGAGACTGCCATGGAGGAGTCCATCGCAGAATGGAACACCAAGGCTGGTGACGAAAGCCTTGACATCGAAGCCATGGTGTCAATGGAGAAGGATCTGGCAGCCTACATGAAGGAGTGGCACCTTGGCAAGCACTGCCAGGCAGTGTTGGACACGAAGCAGCAGATTAAAAACTTCCGCGAATTCACCTCAGACTGCAAGAAGGAGGTGAAGAAGCGGGACAAGCTGGCCGCGAAGGCGACAGTGAGGGGTTCGAACAAGAAGGCCAAGCTTGATCATCCGAACAGCCAGGCAGCTGCCGAGACCCCCGCCTTGGTGGTCAATCTGTTGAAGCACCTCAAGGAGAACCCGCTTCCCGATGAAACCGTCAACTGCGCAACGGAGCCAGAGGATGAGATGACAGTGCCCCTTCTGCTCCCACCAACGCCGATGGAAGGCTTTACCCGGGATGTGACCCGGCACGAGTATTACAGCGAGCAAAAGAAGTGGGTGGAGCAGATGCTGCTGAGGAGCAGCCAGAAGTATTCGTGTGCGGTGGTCACCAGAGACAATGTGGCCAGGCCCTTCTTGCAGCAGCTGGACCAGATCCTGCCGGTGCCACTGCGTTCCGTGGCACGACCCTCGAGCAAGGAGCTGCAAGAGATCTGGCAGTTGTACTTTTACCAGATGGCCGGGGACTCCGGCCGCCTCTCGATGTCCACTGACTGGGGCTTGCCCGAATTGCGCATCTGCTGCGAAGGCAAGGAGATCTACTTGGGGTTCCCCGTGAAGAAGCTAGCCGGCAACACGACGGCCGAGATGCTGCAGCACCTGGAGCGGATGCGTGCAGAAGAGTTCCTCACGGCAGTTGAGCGGGATGGCTGGTGTGTGACATGCCGCCCTGGGAGGGGAGGCGTGCTGCCCACGAATTGTTTGTTCGTTCATCTGAGCCTGGAGGGACCTGAGACCTGCCACGGAGCCAGGATTCACATCGTGTCTGACAAAAGCCTCCAGACGGCTCTCACTCACCTGGAGAGGCAGGTCCAACAGGACCCGACACTGGAGTCCAAAAGAACCGGCCAGCTGCTGAAGTGGATCCGCGAGAGGTGAACTGTGCGGCATCCTTAGCGTCCAGGCTGCAGCTTCTGCTGCTAACCTGTGACCTTATGGATCATTCACCTTGGCTTCGTGGCTGCCACTGTTGGCTACCCACTTGCCTGCTCCCCGCAACCCCATCTCATCGGGGTGCGGTTTTTAACAGTTGTTTTCGGCAGGGGTGCTGCTTCGCAGCTATCCCTTCGGCAGGGGTGCTATCCTGTGGGCTGCTGCTTTTGCAGCTAACCCATCGGCAAGGGTGCTGCTTCGCAGCTATCCCTTTGGCAGGGGTGCTGCTTGGCAGCTACACTGTGGGCTGCTGCTTTTGCAGCTAACCCATTCTTGCCTTTTTCCGAACCCTGGGAAGATACAACTGACACCAAGACGTGCGGGAGAATAGTGGGATCAGCGTCTGAGAGCAGAGCCTTAGGACTAGGACAAGTACAGACCTCAGCAGTATCTGAAGCTGTAGGCTCTGGAGAAGCGGTTTGGGTACACACTCGTGCTTACTGTTGAGGTCGGGTTTCTCAGGGTGTTACTGTGCACAGTGTCACCGGGTTCCCTGTCAGCCAAGCTTCACTTTTGAAGCTTGCAAAGGGATGTATCGATTCACCTGTGAACAATCTGCTCTCAGACAACCCACAAACAAAAAAGTTGTGGGCCAAAGCCGTAGGGCCGTAGGGAGTCCTGGGTGTCCGGGGTTATGTCAGGAGTTTCGGGGGGGGGGACGGGGTTGTGTTGAGGGGGTGTCCGGGATGTCCGGAGTGGTGTCCGGGGTGGTGTCCGGGATGTCCGGGGCATGTCCGGGGCATGTCCGGGGCATGTCCGGGGCATGTCCGGGATGTCCGGGGCATGTCCGGGGTTGTGTGTCCTGAGGTCTGTGTCCCGAGGTCCCACCCAAGGTTTATGCATTAATATCATCTAGGATGGGACAGGGGAGAGCATTTGCTGTACTGCTGCATTTCATGAACCGCAGAAGTTAAGCTCTGTCAGTTTCGGTGTTGAGCGGTGTGCCTTTCAGGATGTCCAGCCAACGTTTGTTCGATAGCCAAGTGATGCTGGACAACGACTCTGTGCTGTTCGACAGCCAGGTTGATCCAGGGACTTGGGCAGCGGGGCGCACGTTGGCTTCACCGGTTGTGCCTGCTGCTAGTTCTACTGCAGTGCACCAGACTGGCCTGAAGCGCAAGAATGCATGCCTGGAATGGGAAGGCGATTTTCCAGACACCCAGGTAGAGCTGTATCCGCCGCCTACTATCGTGAATATCAACGAGGACCCAAGCCCAAAACCGAAACCCCGCAATGAGGTGGCTGAGAAGTCCTCAGAAAAGTCCTTGCAAGAACAGCTAGAAGCCTCCCAGTCGAAGGTGAGTGAGCTGCAGGAACTGAACAGAACTCTGCACTCCAAAGCCGCGGAGTTAGCACAGCAGCTGGTGCAAGTGATGGAGGAAAAAACAATCTTCTGGCTGAGAAGCATGCGAAGATGATCGCTGACTTGAGGGTGATGCGTTCTGCCCGCGAAGAGCTTGACGAGCTTTTGGATCTTAATTTTGATGACGACGACGATCAATGCTGAGAAGCAGTTCCTGAGGCTTGGCCTTGAAGTTTCTGTTGCCGTCCTGGCTGCTGGGGAGCTTTTTCAGCCAATGCAGTTTTTGGCCACGGGCCGCAGACTTTTCATTCAGGGCAGCAGGCTCAGGGTGCTACCGCGAAGGCTTCGCGATGCGCCCAGTGCCAGCCGCCTTGAAGAAAGAGGCTCATGGGTAGTATGTATACGGCTAGAAAGGCAGGGGAATGCAGGGGACTACAGAAACCAGGTGCTCCGAGCGTGAGTGTCGGAACAGTGGAAAAAGAGGACCTGAGCTTGTGTAGTTTCTGAACGGTAATAGGGATGTGTTATGGGCCTTGTTAGGGAGGGTTTTGGACTGGCGAGGGCTTGTGCGTGCTACCAGAAAAGGACCGATTTTGTTTCAAGGGGACGTGTTTTTTTTGGTTGGGAAAACGCAGCTTTTGAGTGAACGGTTTAAACCCTATTAGAACGAATGCAATTTTTCTAAAACGGTTCATAACCTTTTTTTATTTCGACCCCGTTTGCAGCAAGGGTTAACGCCCCCCGGGCCTAGATGAATCACTTATAGGTCTGACCAGACGGATCGGGGAAGGGTGCCTCTTACGGAGAACCCGGAACCGTGAAGTCAAGTAGGGTGTAGGGACTTCCCTCCTACGGAGGAAGGACCGAAACCCGAGCCATGGCTGAAAGCTACAATGCCTACGAGCTGGCCTTCGAAGGAGTGGACCACGAAGAAGTTTTCCCGTCTGGTGGGATGATGCGAACGTTTCTGAAGTTCCACAAGTTCCTGGAGATGTATTCTGGGGATTCGTCGCAGAGCGTTTCGCTCCCGCCGAAGATTACGAAAGACAAAGTGGTCGACAATGATCTCATTCGCACATGGGCAGCGTTCAAAGCACCTCCGTTGGTCTTGCTGTTCACGTGTGCAAATCTGTCGCCAGGAGGGGATCTTTCCATTCGAGTCCGAGAAATCCTCAAAGCTTGCTTATTTGCTGCCCCTGAGGAGTACATGGACAAACCCTATGGGGAGATACTCGCCATGGTCATCAAGTTTGGTGGAGGTCTCAAACACATTGTTGCTGACTACGAGGGGAAGTTCAATGCCATCACCAGGTTTATGGTGGATGAGGAAGTGATCCGCGATGATGCAAAATTGGCTGTAGTTGAACTGGAACAAGAACGAAAACAAGTTCGGTTCGACTTGAACACTGCAACAAGGAACATCGTCAGTGCGGACGTGTACTACAACCTCGCCGTTCTCATCAACTCCGTGGAGACGCCCTACCAGGCTGTGACAGACACGAGAATTCAACAATGGTATACGGTGAATCAGGACTACTACCACAAGTTGCCTATGTCGGGTAGAGCACCTGACCAATCAGACCTGTTGGCGGAGCCTACGTTATGTAGGGTGTGCAAGCTGATGTACATGTTCGCAAAACACACTGGGTATGGACTACGGACCTACAACCAGGAATGTGCAGCGAGCAACGATGGCGCTACGCCACTCAACGTTCACCAGCTGGCCTTGATGATGCGCACAATGCCTCAAGGCATGGGACATCCGCTCGCCTTTGCGATGAACTCGCTCCAGGCGTTCAGTGTCTGTCTCCACGTGCTTCATTCCTACGTATCATGGGTTGATCCAGAAACTGGACACCCGCATTACAGATGGTCCAACGATGTGCTCCCTGATTCCGACTACACCACGTATGCTTTCCTCAAGCACCATGTGGATGCTGTATGTGCAGATCAGGACAGGAACGGCTTCCAATTGCCGGATGCGTTCCGTGGCTACACCTGGAATCAGTGCGGAGTTGAATCTGGGTACGTGGTCGACTGCTCTACCAAACGCGCCACGTTGGGCATATGGGAAGCAGAATTCCAACAGATGGGGGCACCAAGTCCGCTTATGCAAGATGATGGCCTATTTCCGCCCAATCTTCAACGGCATCCTAGCTGGGTATACTCAACGGGGAGAGTTGCGATGCCTACGGCAAGCAACCTCGAACCGGAAGGAATCGTGCACCCTGAGCATGGAAGAACGCCGGGACAATCGCAAGGATCCGCTGCCGAGCCTCGAGCCACCCCTAGCCACGGACCAAAGAGGGCAAGGACGGACGAGGCAACGGCATCGGCGTCATCATCTTCCGCGGCACCTCCTCCACAACCATCGACTTCGCAACCGGAAGAGGAACCATCGCAACCGACATGGGAGGAAGCTCCAATCCCCGCTGGCGCTCAGGAAAGTTGGTACCATTATGTCAACATCGATGAAAAGGGCTGTCGCTCGAGCTTGCTGGCGACGACCCGTGATCAAGACGAGTACCCACCTACCATTGATGAGACGCCAAAGTTCGTGGCCAACCACGACGTGGGGACCACACCGATTCAGCATTACGTCAGAAGACTGGTGACCTATTTGGCAAGGATTCGTTCCGTCTCTCAAAGTGATGACAAGGGTCTCAACCTGAAGGTCTACGTGAAGCTGAGTACAAAGGTGTGGTTACGGATGTATTCACGGCTGTACCATGCATTGGCATTGGTGTCATGCGTGCATCTTCCTTCTCCTCCGATGCTTACCTCGGCAGTGATGATCGAGGCAGACAACGATCTTGTCGACAACGATGAAATTCCGGAAGAAGCAAGGATCAACACCATGAACACGCTGAATGGATTTCGCAATAGTTTGGGTATGGGTGGCAAGCCTGATGCCGCGACTATGCGCTCTCAATGCACAATCCTCGTCCAAGACTTTGACATGGTCGCAAGGACCAGGGGATCAACGCATACAGTGAGAGAGAACCTCGGCATGCATGGATGGAGTGAGATCTACATTGTGAGCCCGTCGATCACCACAGGTGCCAACTACAACTTCCAAGTCACAAAAGGATCGTTGGAATCTGTGAATGCGACATTGGATGGCTTGACTGAAGAGCAGCTTGCAACCGTCACATTGCATTACCATCTGTCTCTCCAGGCGATACTCATCGAGAACATGTCATTTCCGATGAGTGAGGTCGGAGACGGAGCAGCAATTCGTTCTGACTTGCAGCGACAGCTCAAGGTCACGTACGTTGACCCTATCATTGCGGCAGGGAAGCGTACCACGCGCCCTCCAATTGTCAACATCAATCACGACTTACGGTTCGTAGGAGCAGCCAGCAATTACCTTCGACAGAAAGCTTCTCTGTTCAACGGCTTCCACGCGCTGGGAATGTATATTGAACTGGAGTTGCGAGCCCGAGCATGCGTGGTGATTCATGGATCTTCGTTTTGGTCAAGAATGTACAGCCAGACGAAACATGCGTCATCAGGCGTGCATACACTGTCAGCCGAAAAGGTGCCAGCACCGGACAATCGGGTCAGGTTCAAATTGGGCTTCGCTATCTACGAGAAGCAGCTGTTCTGCGAGAAGATGGTATCCACGTGCTTTGTTGAGGCA